TGCTTCCTACATTTGAGCAAACTAAAAATAAAAAGGCAAAGCGAAAGGTTCAAATTTAAGAGCAATTTAAAAATCTTCTGCCCTGCTCTGTTTCCTGCAGTCACTTCCTTTTGCAGGAGCTTTTTAGATACCAGGACTGCATTTTGGAATTCCAAGTTTTCCTCCCACGCTGCCGTCTGCAAAGAGGCATTCAGAAAGACTACACTGGAAAACACATGATGAATTGCCTTTTTTTCCTAGCTGCTGGTTTTGTGCACATCTAAGCTCCTGACCTATAGTCAATGTCTGGTGTGTAATTCCCCACTGTTCCTCTTACCTTCTACTAAAGAAATTAGTTGCTCAGTGTAGCCAACTCTTTCCTAGGGGGAAAGGGGCGTAAGCGTTGTCTCAACTGCATCAGCGCTCTTCTCAAGGAACGAAATTGCAAGAAAAAGAAAATTCTCAACTGTGGTGAGCAGAAAGAATAATATGTTTGGTCATGTAACTCTGTGCCATCTGCCACTGTCACTGTAATGATGGCCCAAAATTCTCACCTACAGATAGGGAACAAAAAGTTGAAGGTCCAGTCCTGAAAAGATACGTAGTAGGTGGTACCTATGAGTTTAGGAAGGCTCTAAGGAAGAAGAAAAGATGCCTCAAATGTTGGGGTTTTTTGGATGATGTTACTTATTGTAAAGCGTCTTAAAAGATAATTCCTCCTTCAATTGATGCCCCATTTTCATGCTGCACTGTGGATGATTCCAGTGCAATAATTACCATTTCAGTTGGTTATTCCTTTTGTGCTCAGCTGCTCAGACCACCTGCTTGCCACATCCAAACCCTCAAAATAAACTTCAGCTTCGCGGAATGTCAGGGCTCCGGGCTTTGACTCATGTTTGAAAACAAGTGCTGAAGTCTAAACACGGCTCTTCCAGCGCAGCTGCCTTTATAAGGTTTGTTTGACAAACAAATAGATATGGCCAAAGCTGCTTTGATGGAGTTTAAGTATCATATAACCTAGATCACCATTTCACGGTGGATTTGTTGTAGTTTTAATTCTATGCTTTCTTACATAGGAACTCTGCTTCATTCCATGCACTGGTAAGTGACATTCCTGAAGATGTTTTCTACATCTGTTTTCTACTTGTCCTCCACTTTTCACCCCTTTGCTCTGCAGGGCTGATCAATTCTGGGATTTGGTGGCAAGAAAGAATTTGAGGATTTAGGATGATCCGAACTCTGCACGGTGGGAACTGTACAAGCACGGCCTGCCGGATGCTCTCAGAGCAGAAAACTTCTGTGAGAAACTCCCGGTGTTGTCATACTTTCCAAGGCACCATTATAAACTTTAATTTTTTAAAAATCTTCGAGTGACTCAGAAATCTGGCACTGTGTAAAGTGCGAGCTTTGCTGGTATGATATGAGCATCCGTAGTGGGTGGAGGGTAGACTTTGACGTTAAGAGTTCTCCTAATCCAACTGAAGATGAATTTAAGGAACCGGGGTGGAAGAAAGAATCCATAAATACCAGGTGCTGATCAGAGCTCGAAAGTCTCAGGACAACCAAAGACCATGGATATAAAAGTTAGGATTAAAACACAGTACATTATCTAATACAAGGATACATTGTGGTAAAAAGCAAAAAAATCTTTATTATACTGTGCCAGATAACAAATAGAACATTTTGCCCAATATACTTCTGAACCCACTACCCCTCTTAAAACATAAAATATTTCTGGTCATGAGTACTTCTGGTACATAATCACTCAAGTCATAATTAAGGAATTTATATGCTCATTTACATGAGAAAAGAGATTTTTCTCCCTGATACTTCCCGATTTCCCATGTAATTCCAGACAGAAGATTTAATCCAGTTTCACATTAATTGTGCATTCTTTATATTCTGTGTGCAATGTGCAAGGCATCTGCCTGTTAGCCTGTGGATATGCAGGCAATGAAGGCTGCAATTTCAAAGTACTTACTTATTTTCTTTTTTATTTTTTTCCCCTAAATTTTCAAGTAGCCAATGACCCAGAACGGTTACTGGAGACTTAGGTGTCCCATTTCTTCAGCAGTTCACTCAGCACAGTACGTTTTCCAGTATTTATCAGCTTCTCCAGCTGTCAGTTCTTCTTTAACGCTACTTTGGTAATGAATCAGTTCCAAACGCAAGATTTTGTACTTCTCCAGATGTTTTTAAAATGGTGACCCACTGTAGCATGAATAGTTCCTCAACCAGAGCTGACTATTTCTCACACCTTTCTTCATCGTCCCCGGCCCTCCAAATGACGGCACTGAAGAATGTAAAGGATACCTTCATGTTACAGTATGTAAGTGGATAGAGAGCAGGGAAAAGTTGTCTTTTTTTCTTTTTTTAATCTCACAGAAGTTTGCAGATAATTTTCCTAATATAGAAAGACTGCAAATGATATAATTAGATGAGAAAAAATTCTGGTATAGCTATCATTTACTGGGGGGAAGGGGAAGACTAGGAAGCATTCCGGGACAATGAAACTTTTCTGTTCTTCTGCAGAATATAATCGATAACATATAAAATAAGCAAAAAAAAAAAAAAAAAAAAAAAATTGAG